TTGTGGCCATTCACAGTATGGTATTTCTGAATGACAATCTTGTCTACAGAGTCATGGTCGTCAAAGGTTACAAAAGCAAAGCCTCTCTTTTTGCCACTGCCTCGGTCAGTCACGATTTCAATCACTTCTATTTTCCCATACTGTTCAAAATAATCTCTTAGGTGATGTTCTTCAGTGTCCTCTTTAATACCACCGACAAAAATCTTTTTCACAGTTAAGTGGGCACCAGGTCTTCGAGAATCTTCTCTTGAGACAGCCCTCTTTGGTTCCACCACTCTTCCGTCCACCTTGTGTGGCCTCGCGTTCATGGCTGCATCCACCTCGTCCACAGCGGCATAGGTGACAAACCCAAAGCCTCTGGAGTGCTTGGTGTTTGGATCTCTCATCACCACACAGTCCGTGAGCGTTCCCCATTGCTCAGAATGGCTCCTCAGTCTCTCATCGGTTGTTTCAAAGCTCAAACCTCCGATAAAAAGCTTCCGCAGCTGCTCTGGCTCCTTGGGGGACTCAGACTTAGACATGATGACTGCAACAGGGGGAATTCCAACGATGCTTACTCCGCGGGTTCACCGGCAGAAAGGAGTGATCTAAGGAGCGTATCTCAAAATAATAATTTCTTAATGTTATAGCTACATTTTTACTGACTTGTGATCAGTTTACATAGTATTAAGTTAAATTATGCAATTGCAATGAGTACAAGTGACATAACCAAGTTTGGGTATATGAAAAGAAACATTCCCACATAGTTTATTGATCTAGTAGGCTTTATTCAACAATTCATGAATTGGGAAGCATCCAGTCTAGCAAATAGGAAGGAGCTCCAAAGAGCTGTAAAAGGTGAGAGAGTTTTATAGAACAAAGTGAGCAGGAGTAGGAAGGTTATCTTGGGCATTACCGATTGGTTACGGCTGGCTTACTTTCCTTATATGGGGCAAAGAGACGCCTCGGAGCTGGCTTAAGTACTAATAATGGGACTAAGCTGGCCAATGCCCTTTGGGAGACCGAGGCCTTCCTTTTCTGGGAGAGCCAGCACAGAGACTCAGTTAAGTTTCGTTTTGCTGACATGGAGTTTAGCAAGAGCATCTCCATCTTGGGCCTCATCTGCTTGCTTTCAACAGGAATAAACAGACTTTTGAAATGCACTAAACTGGAGGGAGCAGAAATGCGGACATCAATGTAGTTTGTTTGCTTTTCTTGTTTATTTGTTGCTTTCAGTTTTATGTGCCACATTTGAGTGAAATCATGTGGTTTTTTACTTTTTCTCTGATTTTTTTCGCTTGATAGATGATTGGATAAAGAAGATATAGTACATAGTCCTGGCTAGGTGGCTCCGTTGGTTGAAGCGTCTTCCTGTACCATAAAAGGTTGCAGGTTCAATTCCTGGTCAGGGCATATACCTAGATTACGGGTTCGGTCCCTAGTCAGTCACATACAGGAGGCAACCAATTGATGTTTCTCACATTGATGTTTCTCTTTCTCCTTTCCTCTCTCTCTAAAAATCAATTTAAAAAAATATCCTCTGGTGAGGATTTAAACAAAAAGATATGGTACATATATACAATAGAAAAACTATTTTGCTGTAATATAAAAATACTGTAACAACATGGATGGATCTTGAGAATATTACGCTAAGCGAAATACATTACTTTTAAATTAGGTCTTGGGTTATTATTTTGATGATTGGCTGAAATAATTTTTGACTAGAGAGTGCTATTTAGAGGGCAAAAAAAAGTAAAAATAATGGATTTCAGGATCATAGAACAAAGAGTAAACCAAAGTTTTTAATTCTACCATCCATGTGCAAATTAATATAATATTAGAATTAACCCATTCTGAATAGCCTTTAACCACCTTTGGGATTTGTCCATAGAAAAATGATGCTGATGTTGCTTTTCTCTCGTTCACCGTATTGCTGTGTTATGAATTTATATGCATATCACAGTCAGTGAGGCAGAAGGTTAGGAAACTGGAAGAATGCACAGCTTAGTTGTAAAGAAACACCAATTACTGTTTCAGAAATATTTCACCCCTGGTCTATATAGAACACTGTAGCGACTATTAAAGAAATAGTCTGGAGAGAATTCAGCCTTTTAAGTAGACCAAGCTTTATAAGCTGCAAGGAATAATCTAAAAGTATAGAGTATCTTATATTGGGGTTCTCCAAGGAAACAGAGTCAATAGGACACACACACACACACACACACACACACACACACACACATATTCATGCACCACTTAATGACCGGGATATGTTCAGAGAAATGCATCTTTAGGTGACTTCATCATTGTGCAAACACCATAGAGTATATTTATCTAACTAGATGGTATAGCCTGCTGCACATCTATGCTATACAGTATACCACCGTATACCACCGTCGCAGATTTGTTCTGTTGTGGACTGCAACATCGTTATACAGTGTATGACTCCATTTGTGTGTGTGTATATATGTATACATATGTATAGTGTGTATACATATATAGTATGTATATACACATATGTAGTGTATGTATATATGTATACATATATAGCATATGCATATGTAGTGTGTATATGTATATATAGTGTGTATATATGTATGTATATGTGTGTATATGTATATATACATACACACACACACACACACTCACACACTGAGTGGCCAGATTATTATGACCACCTGACGTTTGTAGGCAAATTAGCTATAATTTTGCGCTGGAGTTGCTAGAGGGCCAGATCATTATAAACGTCTGAATAGTACAACATCCCCAAGTATTGTTGCTGATCAAGTTCATCCTATCATGTTGATGGCGTATCCCAATGGAGATGGCTTCTTCCAACAAGACAATGCGCCATGCCACGGTGCTGGTATTGTGCAGGAGTGGTTTCAAGAACATGAGGGAGACTTTACCTTGCTTAGGTGGCCCCCACAATCACCAGATCTCAATCCAATTGAGCATTTGTGGGATGAAGTTAAAAGAGCCATCAGGCAGCTGGTTCCACAACCATCAAATCTCACAACACTGTGAAGCATAAGAAGGCGATGCGCAATGAAACGAGGTAGGCCTGTATTTGCTCACAGAGGAGATGAGCTTTGAGATGCTCATCTCAGGGACTTTTTGAAGGCCAGGGAGTTTTTGGGCTGGTGGGCAGAGTGTGGAAAGCATCCCAAGAGGGTGGGTCAGAAGGAGCTGGGTAGAGTTGACCATGGCATTTGAAGAAAATGTGCCCTGTCCGGCAGACATATCTCAGACAGTGGGGGAGGTAAGAGTGAATAGGCGAGGCGAGCTCTGCTCTGGTTTCTCACCTCACTGCTTAAGCAGAGAAGACACTCCAGCTGGAGGTGACGGCTGGTGCAGGGTGTCCGCAGGGCCAGCAGTACATGCTACATTACATAGTGTGATGTCCCGAGAATTCCTTTTGCAGGAAGCACTTCAAATGAAATATAACTGCCTTAGCTTTTCTGTTATAAAACGTGGACAAAATTCTTTTCCTCTATCAACTTAATAAAGATGCTTCAAAAGATCCACGTGTTTGTGAAGAAACGAGATCTTCAAGTGGTGTGAATTGTTGCCAGAAGTATTTCTAGTTTCTGAACCTTGAAATATTTTGGATTCGTTATTCTGAAGTAGAAATAGAGCCCAGAGCTGCCCTCCCCCCGCCCCAAGGTACAAGTTAAAGAACATAATTTTTTAGATGTACTAGTAATAAGCATAAAAATACTTTATCATTAAAACTACCAGTAAAAATAATTATTATCAGAGAGAAAACTAACAAAAACAATATGTGGTAAATGGGTGAAAAGGGCCCCTAGTGAATCATCTCCCCATGTCTCCGCCCTTGACATTGCGACTGCTTGTTTCTCCCATGGAGCAGTAGGGTCTGTTTTCCTACCCTTGACTCTGGGCTTTGCCATGTGACTTGAACTGGCCAGTGGGACACCAGCGGATCCGCTGCAAGCAGAAGCGCCATGTGCAGTGTGCCAGCCTCATGGGGGGCTGCGGCCACTGGAGAAGCCTGGGAGGAAGGCTGCATGGAAAGGGAGGCCCAGCTTTTCCTCACTGAGCTCAGTCCCCCGCTGACCTGGGCCTAGTGCAGCATGGGGAAGTCAGATCAGAGCATCAGAAGAGCTGCCCAGCCAACCCATGGAATTGTGAGAAACAGGAAATCATTGCTGTTTAAACAACTAAGTTTTGGGTAGTTTGTTTCCCAGCAACAGCAAACAGAACTGTCCTGTGATAAATGGCTGGAATCTATGCCTGTAACTGTAATCATGGCTTCATTCCGTGAACCTTCAAGGAGTCCACAGTCCAGGGAGGGAGGCAGAAATGTAAGCAGGCCTGCTTCCTTACATGTCGTGAATGCCCAGGAAGGCTCTGGGCAGCCGTGTCCTTGAGCTCTGCTCCATCCTCCTTTCTGCACCTGTAAGGGTCGGACCCTGTTGCCTGCAGGGCAGCATTGGCAAGCACGTGGTGCACCTAGAGGAAGTAGACGGTTTCTGTTCTCAGTGAGGTGGTTTCCATCTCTCAAGTCACTCAGACCCGCACTTCCGTTTGTCAGTGAAATGCTAAAAGGACCGCAACAAATCTCCTCTTTCCCTTTTGTTAACTCTGAGTCTTTTCAGTATTCGTGTACTTGTCCTGTTAGCAAGGGAATATGCATGGCTATTCCATAACTTTCCTCAGGTTCAGAATCTTCTGGAAAATGTAAACATTAGACCAGTAGTCATGCTTGGCTCCCCTACTTTACACACATGGTGGAGTGGTTCTACTGAGGCCTCCCTTCGTCATTGGAGAAGCCATGATGGAGGCGGTGTCGCGAGCTCAGTCCCGCCTGCCCACATCGTCTTCTCAGTCACTGTGATCAGCCTTGGCTCCTCTCTGTTGCCCCTCCTTGGGATTCCTCATCGCACATACTGCCCTTCAGTCTGCAGCATGTCTCCTCTCCTGGCTGTGCCCTTGCCTTTGGCCAAGGACTTAGAGCACCAGGCCCATCAGTTTCCCTTAGGGGCCCATTCTCCTCCCACTGGGCAACATAGCTGGTCAAATCTGGAGTTCATTCTGCTCCTCTTCTTGGCTCCAACCTTTGAAGTTGCACATTGGAAAATTACCTTGAATAAACTGCTGAATAGTTTAAAGATATGGCTATAGTTTTATCTATCTATCTATCTGTCTGTCTATCTATCCATCCATCCATCCCCAGCGACCGGAATGGTGGAACAACCGGAATAACCAGAAAGACTGGTGGTTATACGCGCACTGTGGCAGCCAACCGGCCTGATTCTGGCCTCTCTCAGCTCCCCACCAGCTGGCCAGGCCCCCAATCGCACCCCCCCATCCCAGTCAGGGGTGGAGCTGGCCAGCCAACCGCCCATGGCCTTCCCCAAGGCTGGCCCTGCCGATGGGCCCCAAATGGGGTGGGCCAGCCAGACCCAACTTGTGCACGAATTCATGCACTGGGCCTCTAGTTTAATAATAGTTACAAGATGGGCTATACTTTTAAAATACAATATCTTAAATACAATATCACTGTGGCTTGTGATATAAATTTTCAAGTGAACTTGAATTGATACATTTAAATATCTGTTATC